TCATCAATAATGCAGTAGCAAATATTCACCGCAAACCTATCTTGAAAATGAGATTCCCGAGTTTGATGTAGATTTTCAAGTGCGCATCAATGTGAATTCCTGACGTTATGCTAATTGAGCGTACTGTGATTTTGCATTATGAATTGAACGGTCTAAACGAATTTTATTCTGGACGGCGAAGTTGCAATGGGAGTTTAAACATATTACAAGAAAAAATGACCATTTGATTATTGTGGATTTTCTTCAGTAGGTGTTTAGATTTTATGAATTTAATGTAGGTAGTCCGGGATAAGATTACCCTTTACCTCCAAATAAATCAAAGCACCCTCATACCCTTGAGGTAAAAAATTGCCTCCCAAGGCAGATCAGCCATATAGGAAAGGCCAACCAAACCACCTGATTTTGTTATTGAACAGATTATGAGTGATTACCGCAATAACTTATAATCGCCTTATTTAGTTGGCCGTGACTTGTGTGGTTAGGGGCAGTGAATCTTAATAAGTGAAAATATATGCTAATAATCGCCTTTTATGTCTGTAAATGATACAATTTTTGGGTTTAAGGTGTTGTTTTTGGGACTTTAGCATCATGATTTTTGCTCAAGATGGTAAGTAGTTCATATTCTTAGATCTTCTTCTCCTTACGAAGGTTGGCAATCGAAATGGCTATTCTGGCACGTGAAACTGCAGCCAAAAATATTGCTATTAATGAGCGGTTAAACCACCTCCTGAGGTCTTTAATCCATAAGTTTTGGCGTCTTCCTATCTATCTTTTCGTTGTACTTTGCCTTGTATTATCAACCTCAGAAATCAATATCTTTCACCGCTCATAATGTGACCCAAATACTGAATTTTTCGGTTTTATTGTGTGCAATAACTAGCGAGATTTGTGCATGCAATTTAGAACTTTAATGTTGGTTTCTGTTTGAGCATCGAGTGTTCAGCTCTCGCATCCGTAAAGCAACGCAGAGAAGATTTCCCCACTCTCATTCTGAGCTCAACTTCAGTCCGATCGTATAAAATAAAAGGCTAATGCGACCTACAAATTCTTGAAATTCATTCAGTTGCACTATGACGACAGTTTCATCTGCCTGTCTTATATCTCTCTATCTATATCTATATGGCTTCTGAATAAAGATTAAGCAGCAATAGGAACAAAACGCAATCCTGCCAAACTCCTCTCTTCCTTAGCATCTCGTCAGATGTATTTTGTTCAATATTAATCGCTGTTGTAAAGCTAACGGTAAAGTTTTGAAATTATACGTAAACCTTGTTCATGAATCAATATCTTTTGATGGTTAACGCAGTCGAACGCTTTGCGGTAATCAATAACACACATGAACCTAGTCCGTTCAGGAATGCAATTCACTTTCGTCTATTTGAAGTTTTCATTTCTTATAAATTTGTGTCGATAATCTAAGAAATGCCTTCAACATGTGGGACATGAGACTAATCATTCGAGTCCTCTGGTATCTTTCACAGACTTTTTTTGTGGCCCTATTTCCTTGTGATCTAATGGCGTGTATGGCCTCACTCATAATGGGTGTTTTTTTTTCGATGTATTGAACTTTAAGTTGGCATTACTGTTCAAGATGGCGACCGATTTAACAGCTGTCAAGTGCAATAGTGCAATTTTATTTCGAAAATAATGGTTCTGTGCGGAATACGTATCGCGCACTATGTCCATTTTATCGTCGACAAAATCGTCCATCAGAGCAGTTAATTCGATTAACCATGGAACGTTCTCACACCACGTTCACTCTTATTGATAACTCGCATCCCCAGAGGCGCCGTACGGTGTAGCATTGAGGAAGCCCCGCCATCGAACACATTGGATCTGTGTCCATCCACTTTATGGAAGATTTTGCGGAAGGATCTTGGTTTACGTGCTTACAAAATCATCAAGTAAGGCGTAGATTCGTCGAATGGGCCCAAAACGAGATTGCCGTTGTTCCCGATTTTCATAAGCGAATTTTGTTTAGCAATGAATAGCACTTCTGGTTGAATGGCTACGTCAACAAACAAAGCTGCCGCATTTGGAGCGAAGCTAATCTTCAAGTGTATGTCGAAACACCGTTACATCCAGAAAAACTGACGGTTTGGTGCGCTTTATGCGCATGATGTCGGCGCAACATGTCACACAGCTCGTGCCACAATCGATTTATTGAAAGACACGTTTGGTGACCGCCTAATTTCAGGTTTTGGACCTGTGAATTGGCCTCCAAGATCTTGTGATTTAACACCGCTAGACTACTTTCTGTGGGGCTATGTAAAGTCATTTGTCTATGCGGATAAGCCAACATTCTCCGTGTTATTGCCGATATATGGCCACAAATGTTGGAAAAAGTCATTGAAAATTGGACGTTCAGATTGGACTATATCCGCGCCAGCCGTGGCGATCATATGCCAGAAATCATATTTAAAATGTAATGCCACAAGATTATCTTTCAGATAAATAAAATTCATGTCAATCGAATAATCCATCGTTGTTATATTGCAACTAAAAGTTCTAAACATCGAAAAAAAACACCCCTTACTTGGATATTTCTGAACCTTTTTCCTCTATTATGTTGTTAAATGGGTGTGGAAGTTGTGCTCCCTTGTTAAATAACTGTGTTCATGCCATTTCTTCAGTTCAGCATCTACTCCCGTAATTAGTTCTTATATTTATCTCTAAGATCTGTTGCATGTTGTCGCTTGTATCTACCTGCAATCTGTTTTATATTTTTGTGCAAATTGAAACTGTAACATTTTGCTTGTAGTTCTTCTATTTCCTGTCATCCATTGTTCCTTTGCCTCTGCATTCCTCGTAGTTCCGTTTAGTTGTTTGTATTCTGTTCATTAGGTCTAGACTTTCATGGGTCATCCATTCTTGCTTTTTGTCGATTCTTGTGCAGCCGATGTCTTGTTCTTCGAAAGTGGTTATTTTGTTCTTGAATATATTGCTTCTCTTTCCTCTTCTTCTGCTGCAGATTTGACCGCTGCTTGTAATTTTCTTTCGATTTTAAGACTTATTTCTTGTTTTTCTTTAAATATTATTCAGTTGTGCAAAGTCTATTTGTGTTTAGATTTTTTCTCTTTTGATTTTCGGAAATTATTGTGGTCACTGCTAAGGTCTGCGCCAGGGTAGGTTTTCACTGATTTTATGTATTTTTGGCATTTGAATATTATGAGAAGCAAATCAATTTGAATTCTAACAATCTTCCCCTCCCTGTCTGCAGGTGATCTCCAGGTATATAGGGTGAAGCTTAAAGAAATTGTTAGCTATAATTAGGTTGTTTTCTACTAAAAATTGCACAAGTCTGTCGCCTCTTTTTTTGCGGGTACCAATACTGTAAACTCTCACATTATTTCATAACCACAGCTCAAGTTAGCGTTAAAGTCGAAAATAAAATTCTTCAATTTTGTCTGATTGGTCATGCGTTGGCGCGTAGATTTGGATTATGTTTAAGTTTTAGTGAGTTATTTGCAGTTTTAGCATCATAACTATCATGTAGGGGGATGGACTCTGTCACTGACTTTGCTATTCTATCTGAGACCAGTATTGCTGCTCTATATCTTTGGTGTGGAAGTAGATGCGTAAAGGGGGTTTGGGCGAACATAACCTCAACACACAATCGCTCCGCCTGCAGAAAAAAATCTTATTGTCACCACTAAGGTTTGAAATTTTGATACGAGAAACACAAAGGAAGTTATCGAGCCCATAAAGTCTGGTGGAATTCAATCTGAATTCTTAAACCGACTTTGGAAATTTAACAAAATCCCCTAATTGAATCCTATTAGCTGATACAGAATCACTTTAGAAGTTAGTACTAATTGCGAAATGTGGTGGATCAGTAAGACACCATTATTTGGCACTGCAAGCCGTCATTTACAATAGACACAAGAGTCTGAACCTTTGTCATATCGTTTTTTGAATTTGCCCTCTTCAAATATTTTCAATAGATTCGCAACATCCTTGTTCTTTTGTTGGTTTCGTTGTCCAACTTTTTGCAACCTATACTCAAATTCCTCAAATTCTTCAGGAATTTTATAGAATCAACAAAACTAAATCAATTCACAAAGTCACAGCAAATTCAACCGGCCACACCAAAAAATGTTAAGTTAGAAATTGATGCATATATGAGGTTGAGTTTATATAAAAATAAAACGACTCAACCTGTTAAGTCTGCAGCTAAACACTAACTTTAATAGGTCTGAATTACGATACCACATAGATAAAATGTTGACCTAAAGCAAAACGCATTTTTGTCAGAGCAGTCATATATTTGGACATAGCCGAATGAATATTGTCCGGATGAAAATGTACCAAATTATTCTTCATAGAAATCAATTACCTGATTTTAAGACGAAATCGTTTTTAGACTTCAGAAGTTACAAGAAGCAATGGGTTTAGTAAAATTATTTAATAAGGGAAGGTGTCCACCATCCCGTGTTTTTAAAAAACGGTTTAAAAGTCGTTAAGTCAACAAAATTGAAATTCGTCTGCTGGAGTAACTTAACCAGGTGCAACGTGCTACCCCAAGGAGCCAGACTGATAATCTGTTCATCTGTTCCTCCGTATATCGCACACGTCGTCACGAATGACGCTGAATCATTAATTTGTTTTAAACAAAAGACGTGTGGGTAAATAGATCAAAAAGACTAAATGCAACGGCGAAAGTGAAGAAGATGAGTAGCAAATAAAAACACGAATAGGCTGTTACTTGGGCCACGTTGGATTTTACTATTTTTCGCTCTTACCCGGAAACTAGTTTGCGGCGGCTCACCGGCGAAATAATGAAAACCCGTGAAACCCACTGGAACAAAATTATTTTTCGATTTCAACAAAGGGAGCCGAGCGCGGTCGAACAAAGGCCGGAAATACCCGACCGCACGAGACTTACCGCCAATTAGAGTAATTAGCGTGGAGTGCGAGGGGGTGGGGAGTAGGAAATCTTCGACTGCGGTCTCTTTGTTGCGGCCACTATCCCGTTAGTTTAAGAAGTTTTTGCGACTTAAAACGATGCCATCGAGTTTCGTTTATTATGGATTTAAATCGAATTACAACGATTCAGTCTATGGCGAGTTTCTTAAAGGAACCGTCCACGCCCAAACCGAGATTTGCCTGAGACGATTCGTCCAGTTCTAGTTTCTTGGTCGCCTTTGCCGTGAGCAACTTCTTGAAGGTGTCTTCCATTTCTTCCAATTGCTGGCACCATTCGTCTGCAAATCATTTCAGATTCGATTTGATTATAAGACAATTTGAAAATTATACGGGGTTTATAAGAAATCTTAGATTTTACATTTCCAAAATGATATATACGGCTAAAATGACATGTATTCCAGAGCCGTGTGTCTTAGCTATATTGCTACCATAACCATAAATAACGATTTCAAAACTGACAAAGAAAATTCAGTGCCAATTTGCGACATCCAGTAATGAAATAGATGAAGATGTGGAAGTGTCAAGAGGTATGAGCTAAAATTAATTTACAATAATGGTAATAACTGCCGGTGTTAATAAGGCAAATGCAGGCTACTCATTTATTACGATAGGCACATATTCCTCTTCTCAGAGCATGCGCCGTGGCACATATGACAATTCTAACGCAAAATGTTAATATATGAAACATGGCACATATCCCCTTTGACATTTCACTCTTCAATTGGACTTAAGCATTTAAAATTGCGGAACGTATTTTATAGAGAGGCAATACTGTCAAAAATTTGGTTACATATTTTTTGGTTACATATATTTGGTTAAATTAGATTTTTTTAATTTAAAATTAGGTTTTATATTTTTTACTAGTAGTCTGCATGTTTAAGTAGCAATATACATTTGAAATTTTTATTTTGGACAAAATGACTTGTCATTTTCGCCTAGCATATTTTTTTAAAGATTAAATATAAACAATAACACGCAATTATAAAAGATTTTCTGAACGTCTGAACTGGAGTGAATTATCGATGGCAAGGGCAATTGATGCAGTGAATAAAAATGAAGCGACATTCCAAAGCGCTTAAGAAAAATTAAATTCTAGACAACTTACAAAACATTTTAAACTAATGGAAACAAGATTTTTTAGCTTTGCTTCCCAGGAGGTCAAAGGGCTAGCTTATCAATTAGCAGAAAAAAAGATGCCGGAACCAACTTCTGCTGCTAGAGCATGGGCCTTAGGTTGAATTATTTTTTAAAATACTACAAGAAGTTATAGAGAACCATAATATTGCCCCGTGTCGTGTCTACAATGTTGATGAGACAGCTATATCTACCGTTCAAAAAAGATTGAACGTAGCTGCTGCAACATTCAATTTTCTACCTCCGTTTCTCATATTCCCTCCAAAGAATATGAAAAATGATTTAGCTTAGCGGCAGGGTAGGATTAGCACACGAATCAGGCTGGATGACTACCAACATATTTAATAAATGGGTTGTTCATTTTCAGTCCAAAGTGAAGGCCTCCAAAGACGACAAATTTCTACTTATGTTAGTCGGACATATAATTCCCTTTTGTGTGCCTGCCCACTGCAGCCATAGAATCAAACCATCAGATGTTTCGTTTTTTGATCTGCTTAAAACATATTTTAATCGAGAAATTAAGTTGTGGCTTAAACAGGATCCAGGCAGAGTCGTAACTCACTTACAAATTGGATATCTTTTTGGCAACGTGCGCAATGGTTTCAAGAAGACTGGCTTATTTAAAATATTTAATTCTCACTTTTTTGCAGTCTACGTATTTGCACCTTCGGAAATCACCAATATTCCTCAAGCTTTCCAGAACAATTCACATTTAGAAGGCAATCAAATAATAGGAGCTTCGAAAATCTTGCCTGAGCTCTATATCGTCAGTAGCTAGTGGAGTATATGTAATTGGACAAGATAAAAGAAAACTCCTTATATGGAAGAAGTAAAATCTCAGCTACTAAATTCGCGCAGCCGACACCCACAAAAGACAACAGAATCACCAAATTTATAGACGTTGCTTCGACATCAACGTTTATGTCCAAGCAAACTTTGTCTAGATTAAAACGGAAAATTACGGAGCATGTAAATTTGGATTCTAAATCCTATGAAAAAGACTGTCCATGCATTTACTGTAACTATTTGTATTCGCCCTCAAAATCAAATGAAATGTGGCGGCAGTGCATGAATTGCATGAAATGGTCAGACGCACTGTTTATGTGCCGATGTCGCAAAAAGTGCCAAAATATTTGTTTGTGAATTATGTTCTCAATTACTGCAACAATTTTATGGCCCTGTTATTTTGTTTTTTGTTTATTTTAGGTTTTATCACTATTTATTTTGCTTTTTTTTTGTAAATTTCATATTTGTTTTGCAACTTATAACATACCAGTGGTAATGAATCAGGTGAGTTCTTCTATTAATTGTTCAAATCAATTTTACGAAAATAAAAATAAGCAAAACAGTGTGTCATTTTGTACGTATTTCTCCTATACTCAGGTGCACATAAAACGCAAGAGAGAAATTTTTAGTAATATTTGGGGAATCACAACTTTTCAAAATAAATAGGCATTAAAAGATTTTCACGAAATTATATATTTTTACATGACAATTGTTTCGACAACACCGTGGCTTTATCAAATGTAATATTTACAAACTACCTGCTATTATATATACTGAAAAAAAAGGAGAGGTATTTAAATCTAATTGATCTTTAAACAATACATTTGAATGTCTCATTTTGTTAATCTCCATGGCTTCCAATAAGTTTAATTTTCTACTTTTTGTGGTTGTATGTAAAATATCACAATTGTCGTCAAAAATGTGTTTTTCTATGCTTAAGAGTGTAGCATAATTGGAATCTAGACTATTGTTTATAAACGCTTATCTTTCGGTATATATAGTCGCAGGTAGTTTGTATATATTACATTTGATAAAGACACGGTGTTGTCGAAACGATTGTCATGTAAAAATATATAATTTCGTGAAAATCTGAACTTTTAGTTCTTATTTATTTTGATAAATGGATTTTCATCAAGTAAAGGCCACCTCAGTTCAATCACAACCTTCATTTTGTAGAAAAATTTAGATAAAATGACCAATTTTTATCAACGTATTTAGTCGTGATTCCTTCATGAACTTAATTTTAAAACACAGTGTGGTTAGTGGTTCAATTTATAATTTTTTATAGGAGGCGTTTATGTCAGTTTAATAACGTCTCTTTTCACAGCCGAACTTCTTCACTACTGTTATAGTTTTAAGTGCCGAGAATTGCACAAAAGCTGTTGGACTTGTTGAAGAAGGTTGTAGTGTGTTTATCGCACTATCATGAAAAGAGCAATCTAACGTTTTCGCAAGCTAGCTGATATTGCTGTATGGCTGTAACAGAGGACGAAAAACTACGGCTTTTGAGACGACTTCAAAAATTCCGAGGTAGACACGTTAGTGTGTGGAAAGTTCTTCGAAGATTAAAGCAGTTTGCAAATGGACCAAAACTGCTTCGGCGTTACCAAGTACCTAGGCTGCTTGCTACTGAACATTTAGGTTTGAACTTACAACAATGGAACAAATGTTCTCCAATTAACGAAGGGGTCATGAAGAAAGGTGATATATTACAATTAAATCTATTAAACCACTAATTAAGTATAAGTATAACCCTAGTTGGAGTGCTGACTATTACATTTAAATTACGTTACTACATTTACATTGAAGTCATCTCCGCAAATAGCCTCCATTGGAAAAGTAGACAAATTCTCCTAATAAGAATTTTAAAAAATCGATAAAGTGTCCAATGATATATGAAACATTTTTTTAAAATCCAGAGATAGCTCCAAATATACTGTTTGCGAAGAATTTAGATTATCCTAACCTTTACATTATCAGATCTTATATAAGTATCACCATTTAAGTCAGTTGGGTTTTCAATATAAATTCCTTTAGTTTTATGGAATATTCGTGAGACTTGAAATTTTAAGTACAAAAAATATGACATAATTCAAACCTGGTTTTACTAAAATTATGTTTTGAAAAGTAAAATATAAAGTTTACATTTACATTTACATTTCTATTCATTGTTATAAATTAATTTTTCTGATTTTTAGATTATAATACCCAACAAGACATTTTGTTAATATCAAAGTTAAAATCTGTTGGTTTTAACTTTACAAAAGTTATTTCAATATTTAGGGCTTATAATGGTTAACGGCGTATTTTTTTACAAATGAATGGGGAGTAAAAGATTCATGCGGTACTAAATGTTTTTCACCTGTATAAGATTTTCCATTTAAATGCTATAGACGTTAAACAAGAGTAACGAAAAAGTTTCGCGAACATTTAATTGGCTATCATATAATCGCTACCATTATCAAACAAAGAATGTAAGTTAGAAGGATTAACCATTGAACGTTAAATCTGTAAACCAAGTGTAATCAGAGAAACCCTGCCAAAAACTAACCGAATTCCACTCAAATATCGCCATTTAATATTTGAAACTACCAAATTCAGGATTTTGAATATTGCATATTGACTTGCTCACCGTACAATTCCTCCACGGATTTCAATTTTCCGTCATAATTGACGGGCAGACATTCCTTCGGGATATGTTGGTGGAGGGTATCGAAGTTGTGGTGCGTTTGTATCTGCGGAAAACAAATTCAACCGATATCAGCGGCGCTTAAAAATCGCCATACCCTGTTCTGCAATTTCAACGGCAACAGCGCTTGGAACAATCTCATCAATTGATCGATCAACGGCGACAGATTAACTATATGTATGGCTTTGATTCGCAGATTGATGGAGTGCTAGAAAACCAACTGTAATGCAGAAAGTCCTGGGCGACGCACCATACACTCACCAAAATATTTAGCAGCTTGTTATAAATCGATGGGGTGTACTTAACCATATTCTTCCACGTGAAACCCGTCATGTCCACCAGGATTATGTTGGACGCGAAGCAATCTTGCGCCACCCGGATCTCGGCCATCATCAGCGCCATGATGGAATAGAGAAAAGCGTCGCTAGCATTGCCTTGCGGATCGTTGAACCTGAACACGGTGATGCGGCACAGATCGGGGGTTAGTTTGGGCAAGGGGACCGTTATCCTGGAATATATGCTGTTTATGTATAGGTTATTGTTGCGTAGTAGCCGACATTACGTCAGAGGTTTGGCTTGCTTGTAGATTTCCGTGTTGGGTAAGAGTTTGTCGAAGAATTCCTCGGAATACGTGGTTCTAACGCGATAGTAACCTTCTAGACATTGCTTGGCTTTTTCCAAGCTCATTTTGTTGTTCAACAGCGAGACTTTTAGTTTGTTGTCATCTGGAATATCAAATAAATGAAATTGAAATTGGGAAACAACTGATAAGTTTATAATTGTGTTTCAATTTTACTTTTGTTAACTGTCACTGGAGACAGGAGATACACAGTGTTGCTGCTAAAAGGGACGCAGTCGAAAATTTACATTTCCAGTGGTGTGGGCCGAGCAAAAATCATTTTTATTGTCAAAAATTTAGATTTAAAAAACGTCGTTGTTTTGTGATTGGGACGCCATTTATACTGCTACGCACGATACAGCAAATTTTAGAGTTGGGTGTGGCAGTAAAAATATTAAATTAGTGAAGATGCAACGGCCGAACTTTCTGAAGAATGCGCTGTCAATATCAATAACAATCATGTTGAAGATTCGAAAACTTCACTTATTTAATATTTCTTTACAGTTTGTTATTAAAGGGTGCCTTTAGATGAAGGTGAACTGTTTCAAACATGTCTTTTCCCGAAATTGTTTTATTTAATTTTTAATTAAGGTCTGAAGTCACTGAGGTATTACCAAATAGGGCTTAAAAATCCCATGGTTTTAACAGTTTATAAATGCTGGGTCTCGTGTAAGAAGGTCAAAACGAATATTTTGAACTTTATTAGAACAGATAGTTGAATTACCAATTTGGAAAAATTGAAATATTTTTCTTTACAGATTTTAAGTTTGATGTATTTGTGAATCGATGTAGGTACTTAAAAGGTAAATTTATTTAATTTCTTTCTTTTATTTTAAATGGCTTATTCCACACAAAACAGAATTGAACTTGTCTGTGTGCGACTTGAACATTAGATTGATAATTAATTAGTATGTTAATTGAGACTTTTGAAACCTCAGGATCGGTCTGTAATCAGATACAAGAACGCAGACGTTCGGTATGGGACGAGACCGCAGAAGCGGCTATAGCTACTGGAGCTACTCTATTCACTACTGGTTTGGCGAAGCTCTAATGTATTTACAGTTTTTGGATAATGAAGTCGACAACCTATTAATTGTGAGAGAATGTTCAAATTATAGATATCCTGGGCAATCCTTTTAGATTTTTTTATAGGGAAGTTTAAATACTAGATCACGATATCTACTAGTGCTGAGTGAAGCAATAAGCACTTTGAGTATTTCAGTTAAATTGTTGGGACTTGGGATAGAATACGTCAGAAAGCTAATTAAGGCGTCGCTCGATCCAATTTATTTTAAATTATGGAAAAACTGCGAAAATCTTTAATTGTTTTGAAAATTGAAGGAAAAATTGTAAAAAGTAATGGACAAAATTTTATAAGTTTAATTTAGTCGTAAAAACCTTCAAATAGAAGTGACACTTTAACAGGCTCACCCCTTCACAAAATTCCAGACAGGCATTAACAAACCTGTCAGAAGAAATTGAAATTAGGCGAGGTGTAAGATAAGAATGCACATTACCAGCACTTCTTTTTAACGTAGAATCCGAAGAGATCCAGCACTGGAAGCAAAGCTCGAATAAAGGTATATGCGGACGCACCATAATAATGGCGGAAAACATCTTTATGAATAGAATGATAGAAGGTGGTCAGGAATATGAAGTATGAACATAAATAGGAAAACTAAATCTGTGAGAAATTCAAAAAACCAGGGGAATAATTATTTTGGCAATTAAAATCGAACAAGTAGCAAAGTACAATGTTATTTTTCATATTTTCGTACCCACCTATAGGGGTAAATGAAAGTTGTATAATTTTTTTAGACTCGTTAAAGAAAACAAATGCGCATCGTAAAGTTGGCAAAAAGTAGCAAGTTTTTTTTATATGTAAATGAAACACACATATTTTCTGTTATGACGCAAGATTATTTTCAAAAATATAAAAATATATGTTGATATTTGAATAAGCCGTATTATATTCTTAAAGTTTAAATTTTTGATTAACTAATCAAATGTTGATCGAGTTGGCCAGGCGTTCAGTGTGACATATTGTGTCGCTTTACTTCAAATAGAAACATCGCGGAAGTAAAATTGGATACTCAGAGGAACAAAAGCTTCAAGTAGTTCGTCTTTTTTATTCCAGTAACAATAGAATAGCTGCAGTTCAACGCCAATTTCATCAGATAAATCCTGGGCGAAGTGTACCGTCAGATGACACAATCAAATGTATTATTCGGCAATTTAATACAACTAAAACCAAAGAGAACCGTTGTTAGAAATGAAGATGACGACATGAATATATTGCTTTCTGTTGAAGGTGGCTATACTTTTATAAATAGTATTAAAAAGAAAAATAATTTAATATAACTTTTTAGAAAATCCGGAAAGTTCAAAACCAATTGTTGCAGCACAGTTGTCACAAAATGTCGAGGGAAAAATAAGCATTATTGGCCTACGTAAAATTCAACCAATAAACATACAGAGTCGCAGATCGGTTATCTTGATAGATATCTGACCTGCCATTGATATTTAAATTTAAGTCAAAATAAAAGTGCAAATTATTTAGCAGACCTTCCAGATCGTCAATACATTAACATGGTTTGGGAGCAAGATTCACCACATAATACCGATTCATACCTAATTGACAGAAATGACCATTTGATAGGTAGATATGGCAGACAGTGGCTGACTAAAGAATTGAAATATTCATGCTCAATCGATATCCTCCAGACGTTATTTTAAATGCGGTTATTATACATCTACCTGAAGCTTTTCTTACTCTGATTAACCTATTTTCCTAACTGAACGTTTCAATTTCCGAAACGCCTGGCCAACTTGATCTGTTTAGTTAACCCAAAAATTTAAACTTAATTAATTCAAGAACGGATGATCGAAATATCAACAATCTGTGTATTTTTGAAATCAGGGGAAAAGGATCTTTCGTAATAACAGAAAATCCATTTTAAAATGAAAAAAAATCTTTTTTTTTCCACTTCGCGATGCGCATTTGTTTTCTAAATTCTAAAAGAGTCTAAAAGATAATATTACAAAAAATTATACAACTTTGGTATCAAAAGTTTTTTTTGGTAGGTTTGTAACCCAGATAGCAGACAATATCCACAGTGTATCATCCCATTTAAGTCGCATGTCCCGAGACATGTGGAGAATATTCTTAGGATATACGTCAGCCTATATACTAAGGATATACTATAAAATACATTCCAGGGATATCCTCTTAAGCTTAAGCCTGCGGATTTACTGCACACGATATACATTATCACATTAGAATAGAAACCTAAAAAGTTAAATTTTGAACAACTGAGAAGGAAAATACTTAGTTTTTTTAGATTTCTAATGTTTTGCGACATGTTTTATTGGCAACGTTTTTATGCACATCCACATCAGCGTCAGTGCTGGCAAGTCCTACAAAAACCGGAATCAAATCGTCCAAATCAACTTGCTTTTATTATTTTTAGACACGAACAAGACAAGAAACGCTATTTTAATAAAAATACCACAGAAAATACGGATTCATCTACGTGAAAAAATTACAAAAACGTAAAAATAATATATTTGTTTATAAGATCCCATTTGACAACACGGTTCGGCTGCATCCCATGACGCAACTACTCGCGGTCGTGCTGTGCCGGACTCGCTCGAGTCTCGTCGGCTTCTCCTCCGTCTCGTCGTCCGCCATCTTTTCAGCGTTGTTTTTGTTGGCAGTATAAGGTATACGGCGATTTGGAGTCTATTTTGAGTATTTTGTTAGCTGCCCTTACTGCTTTCAGTGCTTTCATTTCAGTTATTTATTTGTGGTATTATTATTACTAAAGGACTAATCATTCATGTAGGTAAAGCTTTATGGTAAATAAGATTTGATAAATTTTAAGCTGATCAAACCATTGTTGTGTTCTTAAGGCTTGATTTCATGGTGATAGTACCATCGCGAGCAAAACATACTAGGAAAATTTTTAGGTTGACAAAATATATTGCATGAAAATAGGCCTTTACTGTCAAACTGAAAAGTCATATTTTTTTCTAGTTTTTTTTTTTTCGCGCGATAGTACCTACTATCATGAAAGAAATCTTACCGAATAGAGCTTAATGAGGTTTGTATTTAATGAAATGAAATACATAAAAGTATACCTACATCATTGTGGAGATTAGCATCTAAGATCACTTTCATGAGAGTACTATCAGCGTCGAATCAAGCCTTTACTGAAAAGGCGGATGTAGGGATTTTTTAAAACTATTTTTTAAACATATAAGATACTAGTCTCCTTTTTTTTATAAAGAACAGATATACAAAACCTATCTTTCTCAAAACTAAAATATTTTCAGATGCGGATAAGCAGCACAAACATCAAAAGAATGTGAGAATTCAATAGCTGCTTGGCTGAAAAAAGCTATTTTCATCAAAGAATGACAGAAAACCTGTCAAATATTAGTTATTCTTTTAGAGTTTAGTTCAAGATATAGTATTTTACTCTATTTTTAAGATACTTTAGGTTAGGTTGTTCTATATTTTTGCTGTATTATATACCTACAATTTTTTCATATCTACAATAGAAAAAATCAGATTTATATAAAATGTGTTTTATTAATGGTATCAATCGGCAGTCCTTCAAAAGTAAAATTAAAGATTAAATATTAATTGGAAAAAACTTGTACATTTCAAATATTGCCTGCTACTCCAGTGATCACTTCGCCAACCATATCCAATAAGTTAATGCCACCACATGCGAGTACCAAATACTGGGATAGAATTTTTATAGTCGTACAACCAATTGGACTGGACATTACCTTTTCAGTATTTCTCATAGGCTGTTGGAAATAACCTAATAATTAAGTAAGGTCCACTGGTGTATCTATATATGATCCTATATCCTCGAAATCGGATATACTAACGATGTCTCAACTAGTATAAACTGGATATCCTTAGTATGTCCTAACAAACAACCTACGGACATACGTATGTGATATGCTGTGCCCGTTCCAATTAGGAACATCGTATATCCTTGAGACGTATTAAAAATGTCCCTTAGCTGAAGCAGTCTATCAATAGGATATACGCTATGTCCCGTCAGATATCCCGAGGATGTTTTACGTACCTTCTTGTGCTATATGAGAAGCAAATATAAAAATAACCCTATACTTGGGTACACTGATTAACACCCAAAACAACTAACTAAAAAACCGATCTTGCTATACGGCATAAAGACACGGACATTAATGTCTATGAAGGACCTAGAATAGAAGGATTATAAAGATATCCTAGACAGAACACATTACAACAACGATGTTATGAAAAGGATAAACAAAGAAAAGGGGATCGTAGAAACAAATAAGACCATAAAACTACTGTATCTTGGACGTATCAGAAATATATGAAAAGGGAGGATATGATAGTTGCGTAATTTGAGAGAATGGTACCGGTGTACATCGTGCCTGTTTATGAATCAGCATCTCATCCATCAATCCATTACATATACCGTAAACTTAAATGGTTTTCTATGGCCGGACTATAATGGTAAGGAGTATCATCTTGCTACCAACTGAAAATTGATCCTTCTTCCGCTGGTATTGTATCATCAATTAAAGGTTCAATATCGCGCAGCAATTGAATATACCGCTGATAATTTAAATTACCTTCAAAAAGCACTGGGTTCACAATTTTGTTTTCCGAAATCGCGCAGCACTCACACCTTCACTGAAATTCTACCCGCCTTATTAATTTCAATCATCTCTTTCTTGTATTCTCGATCCTAGTAATGCGTGTTTTTTTGTATGGATATTTTAACATAAGTGGTGAATGTGGATTCATCGGTCCAAATAATGTTTTCAAAAATATTTTCTTGCAACTTTCTTTTTTCTTCTTCTATTCTTTAAGTTTCTGCATCGGCAAAACTTGTGGGGCTTCCATTTATAATTCCGAATGCAAGATTGCAACGTTGTTGTTTTGATATTAAGATCCAAAGATGCTTGCCGGACATCTTTTTTTTTTGTAATACAGGGTTCCCTCCCTCCTAAATTGATATTGTAAAATGTTTTTTTCGTTGGAGTTTGCTTCAATGGAAATTTATTAATGCAATTTCTAACACCTTCACTTTTATTACTTTCCTGTTCCCTGGTAAACATTGTGAAAGAAAAAAAAGATAGCAAAGAAAAATAATTAATAGTGTTAGTGCTAGATGAATGTACTAGCCAAAACTAACCAAAACATGACACTTTAAAGTTTTCAACTCTACAGAATCTTTCAAAATTCGCTGCAGATATTTCAAGGGTGTGTTCTTGAACTCATTTTTTTGGGTTTGAATAAATCAATATAAATCTTTTTTTTATATTTGCATTTTTTGTATTTAAAATTTTGTTCAATTTCTTGAGAAGTCTCAGTTGGAATATAATCGACGTGTTTTTAAATAGCTTTCGAGAAAATCAATGTTTTGATCCTTGTATAATTTACACCCTGTATAAACTAATTCTAAAACAGGTAACAAATTTGCCATTGGAACATTTTAAGATCAAATTAAAATCTTTGGTTATACTCGGTAAAACAATGAAAACAAAAACAAAGATATTATCTGTGTTTTATATTTGTTTGTATTTATATTTATTTATTGTAAAATTCATCTAATCGTATACATTTTTGTGTAATTTAGAGGTCCTGTAAACAAACACTATATTGTAAATTAGTCAAATAAAGAATGTTATCACTTCAAAAAGCGATTGTTTTGATGCAATTCCAAATAGAAGAAATTGAAAGACGATAGATAAGATAAATAAGTACATCATCTTTCGCTTGACACCTGCGCGTCTAATATAGTTGAAGAGAGAGAAAAAATAGAGGAAATGCGCATCTACTGCCCATCGGGCGAACAAAAATGTGTGGAAATCGAACTTACGCCCAAATTATTCGACACTTACTGTTTTCCTTGGGCAGATGTTCCGACTTTTCCAGCCACTCCCTCATAAGTTTGACGTTCTCCTCGAACTGTTCGTCGGTCGTGTCGAACTCTTCGAGGACAGCCCGTTTTTCCGCGTCCGTAACTTGCAGCAATTTCGACAATTTTGACATTTCGGAAATCTCTTTTTAGTTCGGAAACGGTCTCCAGCGGACGCGGGTCTCGAGTGCGCCGAACGATCAGGCGTTTGACATTAATTGGGTTACCTGGTCGTACATTGTTTACGCAAATGGCTACACTAATTTGCCACTATTAAAATCAATTATTTGGCGAAATAATGACGCGTTGCGATCGTTCGAATAAAAGGCTACGTTCGGAAGCGCGAATTTTTTGACGCGACCTCCCCGATCGATGTGTGTGTCTTAATTGGTGCTTTATTTCATAAATTTGCATGTCTCACGAGTCAATTTGAAGTTTCGACCGGGAAAATAGTTGATAAGACAAGCCATCAGGGACGGACTATTAAGGCGTTTCAATAATAATAATAAGCTTTGTTACATTACATTACATTTACAAGTCAATTTATTCACTATGTCTAGTTACATGAACAAATAACAAAAATTATTAAGAATTAATGAACGAATTAACGATCAATAAAAATCAACCCAAACAAAGGCGACCCTGTAAAGAAATATATAATACAAAACTTCTACTATTGACTAAGAACTAGTCTCTTACTGTCTAGTCTCAGCTGAGGACGAGAACCAACTAGCTGTCTGCGGTGGTCCCCCGTGTGGTCTTCTTCTTCTGGGTCATTTATTCTTGCATATTTTTGCTAACCTGAAGTTGTCTCTCTTCGCCTATTTCATTTCTATTTTTCTCATTCTTGTATCAGCCATTTACTACATTGTTTTCCTCAGACAGCCAGATATTCTTACTTTTTTTGTTTTGTTATTGTTTGCTAGCAATGGTGGAGTCCAAGTAACTAAAATCCATTACTTCTATCATATTCCCATCCAGTTCCAGTATACACCTAATAGCTCTCCGATATCACCGACAATTTTGTTTTGCTAGCAAAGATATTATAGGTTTTCGCTGTGATGTAAAAAGTTTGTTACATCCTTTGTTTGGTAGCATAACCTTTTTCTGACTTGTCGAACTCTTTTATTCATGATTAAGTTAAACAGAGGTTGGTCCAGAAAATCACCTTGCCTTAACTGACCTTATTGGCATTGAGGCAGTTCTTCTCTGCGATTTTCATACTTTTGTTTCAATGCATATCATTCCATAATTCATTGTTACGGTCCTTGATAACACCAATCATGGTGGGTTAAAATTTTTTTCCACCAATATTAGCAGAATATCATTTTTTTCACACTGTCGAAGGCCTTTTTCAGGTCTACAAAACAGAGAAAGACACGGGAATTAAACTCAATGGATTTTTACATTGATTTTGTGCCTGTGGTGAGTCTGTTGTCCCTAAAACATTGCCGCTAGTCGGCTGTTTCTATTGGTTTCATTTTTAGTAAGTAAAGTAATTCCGCTATAATTAGGGATAATTTGACGCGCTGTTTTGCCTTTATATCAGAGTTTAACTAAACATAAACTAAAATAATCACTATTTCACTACAATTCAAAATATCATAAAAATATCAACTGCTTGCAAGAGTGGACTTCTAACCGACAAGTTTCTGAAGGGAATTTGTAGGTGGAGCAATGAAGGTGTTCTGACTGCCCGCGAAGGAAAGTTAAAACTGAATAACAAATTTACCGAAAATAAGCTACCATATAATCCAGCGTAGATATAAGTGGAGTGGAGCGCCCTTAGTAACCGTTCACTTCTAAACTCACTAGTATTCCGTAGTATCAATTTCTCAACATTCTCAACGCACTGCTACAAGTTTGATTCGTATTGTCAGCAACCGAAAGAACTCCCAAATTTGACTGATATAATCAATAACGGGTTTTTAATTTATAGGCAAAGCACATCTGAGAAATTACCAAATAAACAAATCAAACATCTGAAGCCTACCAAATGTCTGTTAGAAACTGAAAGGGGGCTTGTCCCTTTTAGGTTTAGGTTTTAGGTTCATTCGAATATTTATTTCATTCATTTATTTCTTCTTCTCTTAAAAACAATCTAAAAAACGTTGTATGCTAGTCTCCATCTACAGGGTGACCCATTTTTGGGCTAAAAAATTTTAAGTTATTGAAAATACTAAACTTTTAGCATCGCTTTAAACGTATATATTTACAACTGTTCCGTTTTTCAAACCGGATATTATTATCAATCAAAATAAAAAAATTACGTAGGATAAAATTACTTCTTGGCGTGACCTCGTACACTTCATCTGAAAGTTGCACCAAATTCCAAGTGAAAAATTTATTACCTCCCCGATAAATTGAGAAATAGAGAATATATATGGGATATCTTGAAAGAAAAATTTTCTAAAAGGTGCCATCCTACACTTCACAATAATGTAGAACGCTATTGAGAGAACTGCACCGTTCTATTAAAGGTAAATGTGGAAAATTCGCCATCATCTATATTGTTGAGACACGGTTACACCAATCATCAACAAAATTGAATCTATTTAATCTATCAAAGTGTGGCTAATCGTAGAAATGTCTAGGGTCGATCATCTAGGAAATGAGAACATTCTCGTAATGTACAGGCAAGAAATAAACCGACTACGGTATTTAACACTATACACGGTGTCACTCTTAAATTGAAAGGGAGTTTTAATTACATACATACATACATTCATACATACATTCACTGACATGACCGTCAGAATTGGCAAACATCAAAATTCAATGAGTGATAAATATCTCCGGAAACATCCGATGCTCCCAAACCCGTGTGGTAAAATAACGGAAATGTCCGAAGTGGCTTGGATTTGTGCGAAACCAAACTGACGTGGTAAAGTGACGCTTCCTGTAAGCTAGATCGGTGTGTAATTAGGTATTTTACAGACGGGAGTAGAAAAAAATATTTTTTATATTGGATATTCTGTATATTTTAAAATTAAATTTACAAAAAAAACTATATATAAGTAGTGACCAAATTGTGATTTGGTCCATAAAAACGTTAAGTTTAAAATTTAAAAAAAAACTTTGAAGAATCAAAAGGTTTGAACCACATAATAGAAAAATATTTCAATGCCAAAAGGTTTATATAATGTTCATTGACCCGCAAAGGCGCTTGATAATGTCCCAGTCAAGAAACTTTTGGAGATACTTTAAGAGACTAGCCAAAACTAACATCACTTAATTAATACTTTAATACTCTAATTAAACCGAATACGAAAAAAGCAAAATACCTGCCTATATAATTGCCTATATTAGATTAATAAGATTTTGCCGTGAATACTAGGGGCAATTTTCCATAACACTGGAACGCCCGACAACGAAATCAGAGCCAAAACTGACAGCCTTAAGAGCATATTTTAGTCAAAGGAAGAAACGTAAATACAAGATACATAACACAATGATAAATAGCATAAAAATATAAAACAGAAACGTAGTGGCTTAGGGAAGAAAACAAAAGGAGAGTTAAAGCTGTAGAAATTCACATATTTAGAAGATCCCTAGAAGAATCTATCTTAAATAAGAAAACGAACTAGGAAGTAGGAATCGCAAATTCAAGGCGGAAGGTATTAAAAAAGCAATGAGCACCAGAGATTTGAGAGATGAACAATGCGATGACCAAAAGCACCTAAGCACCACCTTCGAAAGATGTTTTAAATCTGCATCATTACACTTTTCTCGTACTTGTGGGTATATTTTCAAGTGTATTTATTGTTATTATTATTGTCTTTCGTATTGAGGTGGACTACTCTAACTAAAACCACTATTTCTTGTAACTATACGGAGTTGTTTCTTTTTAGCTGGAGTTCCAACCTTCGGAAAATGTCTTTAAGTGGTTGTTTTCTTCCATGATATTGATCATAGTACAAATTGCTTGCTGTATCTGTAACGCCTGTAGAAAGTCGAGTTTCCCATAGAAATTGTCCAATTTGGCCCACCTTGTACAAGCGACAAACACGCAAATTGGTCAATTGTTTAATGTTTACTATGTACCTAAACAGCTGTCACAAAGATCCAGCGTCAACGCTATTTGTCGTGACTATTAATTCTAATTTCGTTTTAATTTGAAAATACGTGTTCAGTTGTCACGTATACGCATTCAGAGAACTCATAATGTAACAAATGTTGCTTAGCAACAAGACATTTCGTCAAGGTAAGACCCGGTAGTTGAGCTTCGATGAAATATATGATGGCCTTAATCAACGAAAGTGTCGCTAGGGGTAACAGAACCATTTTTATTTTATTTTTCTTGCTTTATTTCGAAAAGGCTACCAAAACAGGCCTTTCAACGGATATTACAAATTAAGAAAAGCAATTATATGCAGATTAGGTTTGAAAACATCTTAAAAACTAAAAAAAAAGGTTAAATATTATTCTAAGAATAAAATATTTCTTAGTATTAGCAAAACCTTATTTGTAAATTTAATAAAACATATGCCAGAATGGCCAGAAGCGCTCTCTAATATCGATCAGAAAAATGCTAAATAGACTCAACACTGCACACTTGGCACTGCTGGTTATTAATTGCGACATATTGAATCCTATCACTGAAATAGTTATCAATAATGGCAAATGGCGACATTTCCAAGCTTCACCAACAAGGTAAGATGATGAACTTCATCAAAAGCATTTAAAAAGTCAATGTACAAAATTGTCTAATATTTTTTGTAAATAAGGCTTCTTATTTACCTTACTTGACAGCACTTTTTTTTAAATAAGCCATGTTGGCTTTAAACTAGTGTTGATTTCACATTTAAGAAAGACTCATCATATATAATAGATTCAAGTATTTTAGAAAAATGATTGAATTTCATATTTGTAACTTCATTTTTTTGTAAAACACTTTCCAGATGTCGCGGAAATATTGGTGGACGTTTCGTAAAAATGGTGTGAAGCGGTGTTGCCAAGCTTGGACAAGATTTTATAAGCAGAGGAGGAAATTCATTCGATTCCGTACCTTTTTTATCTTCAATTATTGTCATTTGAATGTTCTCTATTTGAAAAACAACCAAAATTTACTACTCTCATCAATTACATTTCTATCAGTTAAATAAATGTCCTTATTACAATCACTGTCTACAGACTTTACTTAATAGTGTTGACTTTTAAACATTTTTTTTGCTTTTGTGCTTAATAACTTTTTCTTTTGGCAGCCGTGGAAAAGCAAAAGGGGTAAGTTTTCATGCTAATGTGATTTTAAGTTATTTTATTATCAATAATACAATTTGAAAAATGGACAAAAGATCTCGCACATCACGATGTGGTAGAACGCTTCAATTTCTATGAAGTTCACAGAGTTGAAATCTATTTTTTCGTAACAGTTTGATGTCATCGCCTTTATGGATATCATTGTTAAGGAATGGATTGTCGGTCTTTAAAACTATTACAGAGATTTAGATATTAAACTTCCATTCCAACATCTCTAGTCGTCGATAACTTTGTGACGGATCTTAGATTACTTCTCCTTTCCACGTTTTTGGTTTTTCATTTGAGTCAGATGTCGGGTTCGGGTTCAGATGTACTTGCTTTGTTGACAGAAGGCTTTTAAATGGCAACGCATTGAGATAACAGATTAAATTTGTTATAATAAATAATCACGGCCACCAAACGAAAAAGAAACGTGCTAATTGAAGACAAAAGATCTTCTCCACCGTTATTTAATATTTTTTCAATTTTGTAAATAAAAGAAACGCGTAATTAAATATGTCTTTATTATAACAAAATTGATATTAGTCCAGGCACAAATTTCTAAAACCATCCGGCTCTGAAGGTGCAGGATCTTTGAGTGGCGACGACGTATCGAGAGATCTTACTTTTTCTAAATCGTCGAATATTCCCTGGCAGTCCTCCAACTTCCGTTTCCATAGTTCTGAAATTCCAAACTAACTTTACAAAAACACGGCAGCTCGTGATATAGGTACATGGTGTCCGAGAAAATGGGGAAAGTGTCCAGGATTCAGATGTCGCGGACCCAAACTACTGAGATATGAACAAATGTTAAAATACTTAGAAAATATGGCTAAATAAATAATACTATCCTTAATATACTTAGTAGACTAAAAAATAAGTTAAGCTTTCACATAATGACTTCATTGAATATATAATTGTAATTTAATTTTAATAATATGCTATTTAGTAAAAAAGAAAAAACACTAGCTTTACATAATTGAAACTATATTAGGTTCTTATAAATTTCGTATCTGATATGTTACTTAAATGGTTATGTAGATGGTAATTTGCTAATACTGGCTGCTGAAATAGTTTTGTGCTCTGTGATTTGTGCTTTGGAGTTAAAATGGGCAGAGTAAAAGAAGTCGAGGTTGCTGGTGATTGTCCATGCTAACATCAATTAAGATTACTAAATACAACGACAAACATTTTTATGTATTTTTTTACATTGCTGCCCAGTTTCAAAGTTTACTTCGTTTGTCATTACAATGATATTTATGTAATAAGCTTAAAAAATGTAATATAACAGTAAATGTAAGATAAATTTCCCTATATTAATCGATAAATGATAAAAATTTGAATGTAGATATTACCTATTAAATAACGTTCTCGGTATGAAGTAACAACAATAACAAATTTAGCTTGTTTAATATAAAACCTTCAATTAATGTCAAATCTTGTCATTTGTTAATTAGTTGTCAATATTTTCCCACCAGGGAACATTGTGTGTTACTATTCAGTGAATGCAAACCGTTACGTGGAGGAGAAGATTCTTCATTGAGTACACCAACTTTCCCAGGAGAGAACAGTTAAAAGAAAAGTTAAAACAGACCTCAATGCACAAAGTATATATGCCTAAAATTAAAGTGCGTGAAATTCTAAAAATAATTGTGTTTACATTTCAGCTTAGTGGAAGGAAGAAAAAATGGTATGCAGTATCCAACAACTTCTGCAATAAGGAATTTTAGATACTATTTATTTTCAGCAAAACAGTGTACCACCACACTTCTCCAGGGTCGCAAGGGAGTCTTTACATACTGCTTTTGTAAGCAGATGGATTGTGCCGGACGGTCCAATCAAGTGGGCACCCTATTCTCACGATCTAACCGTTCCTGAGTTTTGTATATGAGGATGTGTAAAGGGACTTTGCTAAGGCTAAGAAATTATCACCTAAACGGTAAAAAAGGCCTTTAGCAACAATCAAAATGGACGTTATACACAGAAGCTAAATTATCATTTAAAAATTAGAATCAATTTTTTCAATTGTTATAAATACTGATAGTGAGGTTATCGTTACTGTTGTTACTCATTTAATAGTAATGTTTAATGCGCAGAGTAAATATTTTTCTAGGCACGACAACAGCGCAAATCATTTGACGCTAAAGCGATACAGCAATTATTGTCAAATTTTCATCAATTATATGATGATGCGTAGATACGCTTTTCATATTTTAAATCACTAGATTTTATTCGCTCATTTCATTAAATCAGTTTTGGCAATAACGCTGTAATACTAATTAGCTTGATCCCACAAAGTCGTCATTCTTTGGGAAGCAAAAATAGCGTTGTTGAAATATCAGTAAGAATTAATTTTGCTCCACGTTGTTAAACTAAAAGTTTAGGCTTAGTTATTGATTCACAACTAAAATTTTCTAGCCATATATCGTATATTCTTAAAGGATCTTATTTTGCTTTAAAAGACGTCTTATCTTGATCGATCTTGCTACTCTCTTATTTTATAAAATTTTAATCACTGTCGAGATTCGTATCGAGCTCAAAAGATGCGGAGTTAGATTTATTTTTGGTATGAAAAGATATAGTCGAGTATCTCACAAGAAATTAATTGGCTTAATACGTCCAATAGAATAAAATTCCTACTTATCTATATAGTAAAATTACTTTTTTATATCAAATAAACTTCCACAGGCTACTGTAAGGCTTTTTACAAAACTTCTGGATTCCTCCTGCGTCGATTTTTGCTGACTCGAAATTGCTGACGTTTCGCCAATCATCCTGTTGGCTTCTTCAGAGCTTGACTGAAACAGTTTCAGTCAAGCTCTGAAAAAGCCAACAGGATGACTAAGCAAAAACCGACGCAGGAGGAATCCAGAAGTTTTGTAAAAAGCAGTAAAATTACTTCTGAACTGTAGCGTAAAACATAAAAACCATTTTTTTAAAAATCGTTCTCATATAATATTTGATCAATACTGATTCAGAAAATAATAATAATATGATCTCCCCCTTAATCTAGCAATTGGTGGGATTTCAGCTCACTATTATAAACATTTTCGTTTATTCATTGAGTTGATATTTAAAATTGTTTAAAAATTTATTGAAGGAAACTTTGTTTATATAACAAACTCTAGATATGTTTTGAATGTAACGAAGGTCAACAGTGGTAAGTATGTGGTTGCTTTCAGACTCATTGTCTTTGGGAGATTGTGGTGAAGTGTATTTTGTGATGGAACGCTTTATATTTTTAATGTCTAAATTATTGGAGAGTTGAGATGGTTTTTCAGCTCTGTAAACAGAATGAGGCAATGTTAGGTCTGATTTTCAATAGATGAGATTATCATTAATAACAATAATAATAACAAACAGCTTTTTTTATAAGTCAAATAAAAAAAACATATACATATTCACAATATAATACAAACAGTTCCGACTGAATCAGGGCGCAGTTTAGCCGAACGGGCTACTCTACTGAACACGAAATCGTCGGACTATTGCACAATGTTTTTTTTTTAATTATATGAGAAAATTAAAATATAATGTTGAAAGATAGTATAATGTATAACTTAAGATTAATAAAAAAAAAACAACTCTATACACTGACAGAAACTGGGAGGTGCAATACTATTCTTTCAACAGAATCTGTAAAAAAGCATGTTTATGGACATTGTCTTTGCACACTCTTGTATGGTTTTTGAAATATTTTTTATTCAAGGGAAGTGAATTCGTTTGGTAAAGAGTTAAAAAAAATTAATGCCGTTATAAGTAAACAATATCTGGAAGATGGCAAAGTGGTGACGTGGAACAGTGATTTATTAATAAATCTGAGTCTGTGCATGTACCGTCCCCCGTAAAACAAACATATTACTTAAAGATAAAGGTAGCACAGGGTTCGTCAATACCTTCATCGTAAAATTACCCAAATGAAGTGCTCTGCGATTCTCCATTTTCAACCAATTAAGCTCTTTAAATGTGTGCGAGATATGGTCATATTTTCTTAGTCATAAAATAAGATGTGAACATGTATTGTGCACTTTTTGGATTCTATTTTTGTCTGCTACATCAAGACAAGGGCCATAAATAAAATCACAGTAGTTGAAACTAAAAAGTACAAGAGATTCACAGAGCTTTCTACGTATAGGAGAACTAAGTATATGTCTACTGTTGTTTTAGGATTTTAATATATTCCCTAAAGCGCAACTCCGTATCCAATATAATACCCAAATTTTTCGCAGAGCTGACCATGGAAAGCCTGATACCATTAAGACGAACATCCACATTATCATATAGAAACTGCTTATTAATTTTTGGACCAAAAATCAATAAATTAGATTTAAGAAGATTAAGTTTAAGGTTATGTTCTGAGGAAATTTGTTTTAATATATTCAGGTCCTCGTTTATTAACCTGGATGCATTTTCGTAATCAAAGTGATTAAAGTGAAAATAAATCTGCGTATCATCAGCATAGACCTGGACTTTACAGTGCCGCAAGGCGCTCGAAATATCAGCTGTGTAAATAATAGGCCCAAGGATAGAGCCCCGCGGAACATCTTACAAAATCTGAACTCGCTCTGAATCCGCGCCGCTACACGCAATTTTTTGAAATCTGTTAGAAAAGTAGGATGTTACCAGATCAATCGACTGTTGTGAAAATCCATAATATTCAAGTTTTGCCAATAGAAGTTCATGATTAACGGTATCAAAAGCCTTTGAAAAATCCAAGAGTATGAGTGCAGTATGCATTCTTTTATCAATAGCGGAAATTATATCGTCTGTTGAACCAACCAAAGCAAAATCTTGCCTAAACCCACATTGACACTCGGGTATGACACTATTAACAATGCAGTAGTTAAATAACTGTTTGTATAAAACTTTTTCAAAAATTTTAGAGAGAACCGGTAAAGTGCTGATAATTCTAACATCATTAAAATTTATTGGATTTTTTATCTTAGGTAAGAGCTTTCCAATGGAAGTTTTTCATTGACCTGGAAAATAATTAAACTCAATACAGCAGTTAATTATGTGCGTGACATATTTATCGATAAAAGGTGTGCAATGTTTTAACATTTTAATATTTATATTGTCCTCGCCTGCATGATCATTCAAATAACTATTATTTTTATAAAAATGTACTTTGGTATCACAGTCAGAGATACTTTGTAGAATTTTGTCGAAATATGCACTAATTTGATTTGGATTTTCTTACTTTTTTCTTACTGGAACACGTGTTGAGTGATCTTAAAGATTTCCAAGTCTTTTTTGGATTTTTTTCTCCACAAATAGTCTTTAAATAATCCCGCTTCTCCGCACCACAGACACAGTGAAATTTCTTAAACGTTTATATTTCTTCCAAGCATTGGGAGAACGAGTTCTTTTAAAATCCTGCAAAGCGTGTTTCTCTGTTTCATATGGAGCTTAAAATTGGGTGTAAGCCAAGGGGCTCCAGGTTTAGTTACATTAGTTTCCAATTCAATGGTAAAACTTATGTTAGAGTATTTAGAACATGAGGCTAATTAACAAAAGAAGAATTTTCATAATTTTGGTTTTACACGGAATTTGCTGAAGACTTTCTTCTGAAATGCTAAATAATAAATATATTCACCATGAACGGTGATAATGGACCCGTAGCTGTTCCCGACGTTTGTTCAAAAAATTGAGCATTATAAGAAAAATATATTCCAGACAAAAAATTCTTAATTGAGATGATAATTTCAGATTCTTGAATTGTAATATACCTGAAACAATGTTGAGAGTTTCAGGAATAGAGACTCTAGTAAAGCGGGATTCTACGAGGAAACTAACTAGAATATCATGTGGATCTAATGAACTGCCTTTTAATTGTTCACTGAAATGTCAGGGTTTTTAATATAGAAGGTATCTATTTTGCTGGAAAATATGTTGGAGAGCCAATAGTGCTGACAATAGGTCGAAGGGGTAATCCTGGCTTGTGATTCTTGTGAAGGGAGTCCATAGAGACGAAGAATTTTAGAGTCATCAACCGAGGTAGGAGGTATCCAGAAAATTTGTAAATAAAATATAACAAACTGCCTTTATTTGAAACAAAACGTCAGCCCCCTTAAATTTTTCGCATTTATTTTAAAATATGTTGTGGACACCTGGTTTTTCATTAATGCGTTTAGTGCAAAATATTTATATTACAATAGTGACTGATTACGATAATTTCTCTGTAGGTGTATTGAAACCTGCTTGCCTCACCACTAACGAATCGCCCACACGTTCGCCCACGATGGCATCAGAAAGTTTACGTCCGAACTTCCTCGCGAAACAACTTAAAACTTTCTCCAGCTTTTTCGGATATTTTAAACGCGGAAAATTTTTCGACTGCAAAGCGCCCGACGTCCGTTTACTTACCGTGAAGTTCTGACAAGGGTTGACAGTGGCCGCCGTAATCCGACGGCAGCACATCCCTCGGTAGATGTTTGTAGAGGCTTTCGAGGTTTTTGTGCACGTGAACCTACGCGGAAGAAATAAAATGGCTACGATATTGGATTACGATGATGAATTCAGTCGAAGGAAGAGCGATATCGTACTTTATAAGGGACGGCGAAAAAGTCACGAAACAATGACGGAAAAGCGGGGAAACGGCTCTTACCCTTTTCCGGATTTTCTCTTTCAGCATGAGTTTGACGAGCCTCACGAGTTTGTCCATCGAACTTGGCATGTTTAAGTAGTGGATACCTTCCACGCGACTGGAAAACACTCTCTGAGAAAATAAATCGATGAGACATAACAACTACAGATACGATGAACTAATAAAAAACCCTACTTTACCACCGACCATAAACAGGAATATAAAAATCATTTTTCGGCAATAACTCGTTGGTTAAAAAAACAATTTTCTTTAATTATAATGAAAAAGAACCACCGCCACGAAAACGTAAGGAGGTAAAGTATGTTCGTAGATATAAGAAAGTGACTAACTGATACGAATTAAGGAAACACCCGGGCAAACTGTAAGAATGAAATATGGCCGAATAGGTCCGTACTTTGCTTAGAATTTAATTATTTGTGGTTTTGTTAGGAAAGATACTAAACAATATTTATTTGTTTATGTATGTATTTATGTTTAAATCTAAAATAAAATTACAAATTATTTTTATTACCTACTTAAATTACTTAACATTATTCACATAATATATCAGTATCACTATCGCTATCGTCGCCTGTTCTAATTATTATTTGTTCTATATTATTTGCAATATGGAAATACGATTGTTCTACTTTTTCTATATGTTTAACTGAATTTGCCCAACTTTGTGGAAGGATGTTAAAAACTTCGGTTTCTATAAGTTTGAGGACATTGGAGTTAATACGGGGAAAAACATTGTTAAGACGAATGGCAGATTTCAGTTGGTACCAAACATGTTCAATGGGATTAAATATACAGTGGTAAGGTGGAGGAAGCCTTAAAACTGTATGCCCTAGATTTTTTGCATAATTATCACAGACGTATTCCCTTTCTAGGTTCAAGCTTTGTAGAACCTCAATTAATTGCTTTTTGGTACAATCTTCGTGAAAATAAATGTCGTTATTATACATATAGTTTTGGATTGTTGCTTTTGTGTCACATGAGGAAGGGGTTTTAGTCAACTGTCTGTGTGTCAACTGCATTGTCCATTACAATTACGCTATTAGGAGGAATATTTAAAACTAATTTGTTTTTAATCCAACTTTCAAATAAACCAGCGGTGGTGTCTTCATGGTAATCCAGAGAAGAATCTTTAATATTTTTCGCAGACAGAGAAAGTCCATTTTTAATACAACCATCTTTAGAGCCAGCATGCAAAATAGTTATTCTTTTACCTTTTTTTGATGGCGCGTTTGTTTTACACTTATCAGTTGAGTCACCCCAACACTTTTCCGAAGTATCACAAGTGTCGAACCAGGTTTCATCCAAGTAAATAATTGGCCTTTGTTGTTCTCTGTAAATCCTATTTTTTTCTAGATATTCCAGTCGCCATTATCGAATTGTAAAAGATTCCATTAAAACTCCCCTTTTGTCAATTTTTTAAAATCTGAAACCCATGTATGCAATACACTTCCATAAGGTAGTTCTGCCACATTTAACACCGGTTTCATCTTTTTCAAGCCTCCTAATTAAGATATTTAATGTAGGCACGCTTTGTTCCTCGTATAACTGGTAAATTTTATGCTGTATTATATCACTCGAGAAAATGTCAGAATCGCTTCTTTTTTTCCTCACTGAAATGAGATTTTTCACAATTTTCCATACAGTCGATGTTGGAATTTTCGTCAATGTGGCAGTTTCTTCTAAAGATGCTTGATTGTTGGCACCACGTTCAATGAGAGTCAAATAAACATTGTTTATAACTTCCTTAGTCTCAATAGAATAGTGTTTTCTACATTTGGGCGGGAGCATCTTCCGAGATACACTAGACTCGCACATATTTTGCATAATTCGCACACGATTCAACACACGCTGTATTACACACGAAATAAGAATGATTACTAATAAAATTAAACTAAGTAGTATACCAAACCAAAGAATATTAAAATCAGGTAGGTATAAAATTATTTTCTATTATGGACCACAATTTTACCTGAATTTATATTTCGAAACTTTAGGTAATAATCTTGTTGCATTGCATGTTAATGACCACCCTTGGATAATCCCATTCAAAAGCAATTGGTCACTTTCTTATATTTATGAACAGACCATACATCGTTTGTCGAAGTAATCACCTTGGTAGCTCACCTAGAACTGAACTAAAGCTCTAATAGAAGCAATAATGTTTGTGGCGCCGTCACTCGGCTGGCTCTCTAACTTGATTCCGTTTTTGTGAGTAGTGGTAAGTATTTTTTTAATTGGGTTTTTCAAGCGGGTCGAAGCAAATCTTACAACTGGTCGGAGGTTGCCCCTATGCGGCTTAGGATGTCCTTTCTAGTCTTGCTGGCCCAACATCTTTCAGAACTTAAGGTTTTATTATTAGGTAACGGATATTTATAAGAAGTTTATAAGAAAATTTAGCTTTTATAACAGTTTATATAGTTTTATAAGAAACAGTAAATTTTGTAAGGCGTCTAATACATACCAATGTCCATAAAATCTGTGATGTTGGTGGTTTACCAATTTTTTGCAAAGTTTTTGAGATTAATAATACGCGAACTGGTGGTCAAACATTAAACGATTCGGAAATTCAAGGTTAATAATTTATTATTATTATTTTAATTGTTATTATTATTATTATTATTACTATTATTATTATAAACTACTTATTTCATTTCGGGTGCTAAGTAATTCGCAATATTTTTGACGATGTGTGTGCGGTTTTGTTTTAATTTTGGCACCCATAGTTTGAAGTTCAAATGAATACTATCATATGCCTTCCCAGGCATAATCAGTATTTACTAACAAATCTACTTCCACCATTTATAAGTCTAAAGAGACATTTTTTATAAAGAACGAAAATTAGATAAAAAGTAAAAGACACGCGGAAATATATTTTCAGAGGCCACGCACCAGCTCCTCCAGCCTTGCAGGAAGAATGCAAAAAATGTCTCTAATCTGGATTAAAAGCTCATCAGGCAAGCGGCACATATATCAAGAGTATTTTTTAAAGTTGAAATTTGAAACATAATATAACCTGCATTATGAACTTCTTTATCCATAATACACCATACACCCGGAATGTTCATTGATTTCAACAAATCTCAGATATTCAATTTTATTTAGAAACAGAAATAAATTTCGTATTTGAATAAACCAATTTCACAAAATTAACCAAACTATTCTTTGTTATTTCTCCGTTTTTCTTTCTTTTGCACCATAAAAAATATTTGCAATTGATAACAACTAGTCAGTTTATGCTTCACTATATTTCAAATAATTCATTTGAAATCTCAATAGCGTTCTTAAAAACCATTTAATTCCGAACTTTTTCTCGATACTCATAGAAAACTAAACACACCTTCAGAGACAAATAAATAAACAACAACGTTGTTTATCGTGCTGGCTTGTGCCCGAAATTATGGAAGTTACTCGCCGACGGCAATAAAACTCTGGTCCTGCAGGTATTAAAGAAAGGAACATTAGGGGCGGACTCTAAAAGGTTTTAGTAATAATATTTTTTTTGTTTATTTATGTGAGTATAATCTTATTAAATTACACTAAGGAAAAAAATGACATTAAATATAAATTATATATAAATTCATAGCTAGGGATATCTACACATAATTACATTTTTTATTCTAAATGTCTGAATTTAATTCTGTTTCACTATCAGAGTCATGATTGAAATTCATTATAATAGGGATTATGTTGCTTGTATAGAAATGTGAAAGTCCTCAATTTTTATAATGTGCTGTACTGAATTTTTCCAGCTCTCAATTGGTATGTTATCAATTACATATTTTGTCAAAATTAGAACACTGGGATTTAAAGTAGAGGTAACATTTTGATTTTTGATTTTACTTGGTTTCACTATTTCTCTATGCATGGAAGATGTAAAATGATATGCCCAGCCTGTTCAGCCAAATTATCGCGCACATACTGTTTTTTAATTGCATATGAATTTAGCACATCCAAAAGTTGCGCAGAATTCAAAATAGATATTATTTTCAAAGAAATATTCCTGGATTGCATTTTTTGAACTTTGAATCGCTGTTATTGAGAATATTTTTTCAAAGATTCTTTCCAAACCAATTTTCAAAAAAGTCGGCACTTGTATCCTCATGACAATCCACGCTAAAATACTTATTATCTTTCGCAGACAACAGCAGGCAGTTTGGGACAAATCCGTCTCCTGGCCCTGCTTGTAATATGGTGATGCATTTTCCCTTGTTTAAAAGTGCTTTGGTCTGACAGTTTTGAATGCAATTTTGGATACAATGTCGTGTATATCGAACCATGTTTCATCAAGATATATTATGGATTTGTTGTCTAATTTATATCTTTTAAGTACTACTGGCCTTTTACCTATTTTGCCTATATTTATATCATCTTCTCCTAGCTTCTTCTTCAATTTCGCAACTTCGCTTTGATTAAGACAATACATTTTCCTTATTAGGTCTTGATCACTATTATTTATACGGTGAGTTTGAAAATCACTATGTTTATTCTTTTCTTTTAATTCCCCACTATGAACAATATCCCTTACCGACGATATTGGCGTTTTTGTAAGTAGACAGGTTTCTTTTAAAGCTTCTTGTTTAATAAATCCTCTACTGATTAAAGTTTCATACACATTTTTCACAACCTCTTGTGCATCAAGCGACAAATGATTTCGACGCAACATTGTAATATTCTCGTAAAATAACTGTTATGAAACGCACAGTAAAAACGATTATTCAACACTGCCACAAATGGTCAGAACTCAAGGAATATATCAAAAAGAAAGAAATATACCTGGCCCGCCCCTGCCTTCTCACTCAAATAAGAATATTTTTTTTGATAATGGCTTTAACCAATAACAATAGGTAATAACATCGTTAAAGTTTCATTGAGGAGGGTCCGTCGAAAGCCAACGTGATGAAGATTGAGATAGACTATACTAACATTATAAAACTTACTACAAGTTTTTAAAAAACGAACCATTGTTGTATTAATTCCTTGCATTTATAAAATCTATTTATGTTTTATAAATGTAACGCAACCTCTCAGTTATAAATTAAATGTTTAGTAAAAGTTTTATATGTGATTAAAATTGCATAATAATATTTTAAGGGTCAATGAAACCTCAATTGCTAATTATTTAAGATGTTAGAGCATAGAGTTGTTATCCATTTTCCTGAACATTGCATTCACATCATCCACTATGAATGTTCGTAAAATATTTTCATAACTCGTCCTGATATATCGATATACCGGTTTAAGACAATGTTTCACTGAATTTTATAATAAGTAGTATATTCAAAATAACAAGTGTTCCAAAAACTCCCTTTAGAAAGACAAGGGGCCCAAAAGATAGTTTTTTTTATTTGTTTCTGAAACCAACAACGATACCTAAATGAGATATAGACCACAAACACCTCTGGTTCAAAAATTACCCCACGAATTATACCTCGAAAACGGTCGAAGATTTCTTCAGGTGAATCGGCGTGAGTTTCAAAAAATGAGACAGCTTCATCCCCTCGAAATCGTAGAACAGGGTGTCGGTTAAGACCATATCTTCCCTCAGTCTGATTTCGGCTACGTTGTAAGTGTGGGCGAAGAAATCGTAGGGGTGAAACTTGTCGGAATCCAACTCCCTCAGTCTGAATACGATTACCCGGCTCAAGGTGGGAGTCAGCTTCGGCAGTGGGATGCAATAACTGAAACCAACGAGACCACCGAATAGAGATCATTCGTATACATGCATAGGTTCATAACACAGGGTAACAAAATAAATAAAATGGTGCCGGAAATCCAAAAATTGCTTTTCAAAGTTGTTAGTGTTGTTAGTCAGCTCTAGCTTTGGCTAGAGATACAGGTTAAATAATATTAATATTAGTTCTGATAAAGGACAAAAATAAGGAAATAAAGATACAGGGTGTTCGAAAAATAAGAGATATTTTACAAATTGAAAAACTTTAAATTAAAATTGTTCAGTCAGCACCTTAGCGAATATTACGGCAAAAAGGTACGTCATTCCTTTTTTGTAACTATTTTTTTTATTAAGTATCGCAAAATAAAATTGTCTTTTGTACTTTTTACGTTTCTCACTTGATTTTCGTTTCATGTCATTGGACAAAATTAAGCAGTAGTTTTAAGCTAGAAAGAATGTACACAATATATATACACACAATACATTCACAATTCAAAACATCACTGAACGAGTCGGAATCTAACGCTTAGTATTCATTTGTTCAAGGAGTACAAAATTTTCTTGGTAATCATAAAGCTGAGAATTACGTCGAATTAGTGGAAACTCTGCTTTTACTTACTGCACATCCAGTTGGGTAGCTGCCCTAATGTCATATAAAAGAACATGTTTAAATGGTGAATTACTAATATATGTTAGTCTAGTTTTTGTAATAAAGACTGAAATCCATCTGTTTTTGTTTCTTTAAATGGCAATAGTAATATAAACTAAACTAACCAAAACTATCTAAAAAACTAGATTTGATAGACAAAATCTAAATGTTGTTTTGCTTCACCCAAAAATTACTCAGTAACAACTAAAAATCACAACCATCAAAATTCCTGTTAGCCTGTGTAATATGAGAAAGAAAAAGCTATTATTTCTAAAAATATTAAGGAGTAACGCCTACTGTCTTAATAAATTTTAACAATTTAAGAAAAAGTTTAAATACCATTGACACATTTCTAGTTGTGAAACATCTATGTCGAGACTTAAAACGAGGAGCGAAACAAACTATTTATTATTGGAGGTTTCGGGATACTTACACCACATCCGCAATCTCTTTCATGTGCCATAGCCTGGGATTTTTGTTTACGTACAGTTCCGGAACTATGGAACTTATTTTGTAGTAGGTTTCGATTTTCTGTACGCACTTTTCCCAATTAAATTTGTTTATGATCAGGAACAACTCCAAGGCGTTGTCTCCTAAAACTGTTTCACAATTGAAAGTCAATTTTTTGATCCCTCTTGTAAATCGGATACTTTTATTCTAATTAATACTAATTCCCAATTATTTTCGACAACCAGAGATAGCAGCAGAAATTATTTTATCTTGATCACAAGGGTATTTATTCGGGCGCCTTCAGGAAACGGAACCAATAATCATCGAAATGGATGTTTCCGTATAGATATTAGATAATATAAAGACCCTACGAATGTTGAAGAAAAATGACATTGTAGAAAACAAATTATACATAAAGAGCCATCAAAAGTATTAGAGAATCGAAGAAAGAGCTTTAAAAATGAGGGTTGAAATGTTAAATGAGGAAATGAAACTAGCACTCCAGGAAAATCAAAGATCCTACAACGACCCCAACCAAATGAAGCAAATGAAGAAAAATATAAGGAAAATTGCAAGAGAGCAAAGCAATTAACGCGACAAGCCCGCGGAGAAAGTTAAGAGAGAGTATATTATACAACAAGTGAGTCATGAGTTTGTTATTTGGTTATGAGTGACTTAAATAGTTTGCCAAACCTGTTGCATACCAGATTTTTCTTACGGTACATTTTTGTAAAACATCTGACATGACCTTTAGAATTGACAAATTTTAAAATTTAAGCCGTGGGTAATATCTCCGAAAACATTCAAATGCTCTTAAACTTGTTCGGTAATATGCCTGAAATGAACTAACTGAAAGTAAACAAAACTAACCAAAACTAACGTCGAAAAATGACACTTTCCACACCGTAGATCGGTGTGGAATTGGGATTTTAGAGAAAGGAGACAAGAAATATCCTATAAAATCAAAAAACATTTGAATAATGATAAAAAAGATAGTAAATATAAATGTTTTCACTGAAGACCAATGTTTAAAGATAAATTTTAAAATAAATATTAAATATAAAATAAATATTAAGGACATACCCCTACAACAAATAGTGGATGCATTTAAGAAAATGAAAAATAGCAAAGCCGCTGGTGTAAATAATGTTAACACGGAGCTCTTGAAATACGGCGGCAATATATTCATACTCAGATTTTTTCATTTAATAAATATGTATTGGAAACAACAGTAAATAACGTAAAGTCTTTAGTTAAAAAAAGCAATAGAAAAGACATAGATAATTATGGAGGAATAAGCGTAATAAAAATCGGTTATAAAATATATGCAAGACTACATATCTGCTTAGATTAGACTCAAATTATGTCTCTCTATTGGGATATGCGGACGTTGTATACTGCTCGACGTAAATGTGATCATATACTATACTCAAGGATTCTCAGTGGTTAAATCTGTCTGAAAAGTATGTTGTACAGTGTGTGCCAAATAAAACAATCCACTATACGATCTGGAATCCCATAGGAGATACGAAAAAAAGTTTCGTACAAAAGTTTCTTGGACTCTCCTGAAGACTTAAAATATTATAATTATATTGATACAGGGTGTCCCAAAAGTGTCCCCTTAGCATCAACATTGTTATTTTAAATGGAACACAATAAATTTAAAAAAAAATTATTTCATTATAATCGTCGCACGCATACAGAAAATTTGTATAGAGAATTGGACATTTATAAAATAGACAAATTGCTTAAGCTAGAACAATGTAAACTTATGTATAAGGTGATAAATAATATTCAAAAGTTTAACGTGAAGATTATATTTAATAAAGACATTCACATGTATGACACCATATATCATAACGATATTTATAATTATAATATCAGAACTAATAGAGGACTTTCCAATCCAGTATTCCAAGTAGCATGTACTTATAATAAGCTTCCAGAAAATTTAAGAAATATAAATAAATATTAAATTTGTGAAACACTTAAAAAATCAGTTGAATGTGAATTAAATATAGGTACTCTACAATGTATAATAACAATAAGATTAAGTAATGGGTTGTATACCTACCATTTTTTCTATTTATTATTTTTATAAGCTTATTATTTGTATTTTTGGGACCAGTGCTTTACTCAGTGTTTAAATAATTCTCAATTATTTTTTTGTAGTTAATTAATTAAATGAATGTGTGCTATTTTTTTCATATTTTGATTACCCATATAAAATTGCCCCAAGATTTTCAAATGGAACACACTATATTTTTAATGAGATCAATTCTAGGATAAAAAATAAGGTAAGTTTGTAATTTATCATATATTTAAATTTTACTTACTTTTTGAGATATTCGAGGTTTAAGATAACACCCCTAAAAATTTGTTGCTGCCCACATTAGGGCACTTGTTGGCAATATTAGGTATTTTTTAAATAGAAAAATATGATAATCCTTCTGCTAAGGATATAATACTCCAGATATATGAAAAAAAACTATTGCTAACATACAAAAAGACTGTATATTGCACACTTTAACAGATTTAATAAAACTTTAGAATTCATATTTAATGAAATATTTAATAGTTAATTTTCGAGCTTGATTGAAAATACCTAATAACAAAAATTAGTAATTAGAGTTTATAAGCTAACTAAACAAATTTGAATAAATATATCTATATAACAAAAAAAACATATGATAATGTACATTGTATAGCGCGTCATAATGCTGGATAAAGCATTTCTAACCACATTATTTAATGCAAGAATCTCTTGTATAATTTTTTACTTAAGGTTATCAACTGTATTTATACAGACGAACCGTTAAATTACCTCACAAAAAAGTCCATGAGTGTAAAATTGGGACTTTACTCCTATACCCTTTACTCGCTATCTTGCTGAAATATAATGTTCTCCCGCAAGTTGTCGGGCAGGTTGTTTAGTTCTGGCATTATTGTATTTTGAGGCAAAATTAAAAAAATCTGTCATTATAAATAGTGTTAAAAAAATGGGGCCAACAATTCTATCCCTTCTAATACCGCACCACTGTGTATGTCAGACGTCGTAAAAATGGCCTCATCGGTTTTTAATGTTTTGTTAAAAATGTCTCTCTCAAAATGTTGGTCCATCATGACCATACAGAAGTTTCGTCTGGAATCAAAATCATGGTGAAACAATAATTGAATTGGTATTTCTAAGGTTTTATTTTGTTGCCTTTTAAAATACGTCGTACAGCTGAAGTAGTTAAGTCAAGGTGTCTGCTTGCATCTCGCAAAAAATTTTCGGGAAATTCAGTGAAGTATAATATTACGTTCAATTCAGTTTCTTCTGATAAAAGGGTTCTAGATCATTCCCTTTTTTATATTTTGGAACACCTTGATTTGACAGGTCCTGGATAACTCTATTAAATATTGTTTTTGTTGGTATTTTAGTCCCCGGAAACTTTCTTTGATACTCCCTTAATGCTAAGGCTGTACTTTTGCCTTGGATCAGGTAGCATTCATACAATTTTGGCCGTTCCTGAGCAGAATATTGCAGCCAAAAAACTGTAACTTTTAAATAAATACTATTAAAATATATACCAACGAAAAACTTGACAACTATGAACTTTTTAAATAGAAATATAAAAACCAACAAAAACAAACAGAAATGTCAAAGTTTAAAAAAAATATTGTGATGTCATAGCTAACAACATTTTTCAATATTTTGATATTTCTTTGTTGTTTTGATGCCAGATGAAACGAGCATTTGAAGAGGAACATTTTTAACTAAACTTTATGGACCGAATTAAGAAACTCTTTTTAGTTAACTTTTTGTTTTATAGATTTATTTATTCAAATTTCTTACCTTGTTTAGTTAGCCTATAAACTCTAATTGTTTATTTTTGTTATTAGGTATTCTCAATCAAGCTAGATAATTACCTATTAAACGTCTCGTTAAATATGAATTCTGTTAAAGTGTGTAGTATAGAGTCGATTTTTTTCAAAATTCCCACGTATTAATGAGCACCCTGTATTGTTAGCAATAGGTTTTATTCGTATATCTGGAATATTATATCTTTAAAAGAAGTGGTATCATGTCTTTGCAATTCAAAAAATATGTAATATTGTCAACAAGTGACCTAATTTGAGCAGCTTTAAATTCAAGAAGAATTTATACGGGTGTTATCTTAAACCCCGAATATCTCAAGAAGTAAGTAAAAGTTATATATAAGATAAATTACAAACTTACCTTATTTTTTGTGCTAGAATTAATATCTGAATAAAAATATAGGGTGCTCCATTTGAAACTGCACCACCTATTTGGGACACCCTGTATAAGCTGAGTCGCATCTGTCTAACTGATTGAGTAGTGCATGAATTCCTTAGTCTGTGGGTAAATTTTCGTTGCAACACCTGGATCAGTAGCGACACAATACAATTTTATATGGAGAAATCAAATTATGAAAATAAAACACATAACCTCAATATCTGCCTGAAATTCGATTAGGAATTTCTTAGAAAATTGACCTTTATTTTAAGCAAGGATTTCAAAAATGTTGAAATATACAAGGTGTTCCATTTCAAATAACAAAGTTGATGTCGGGGGGACACTTTTCGAATACCCTGTATCAACAAAATTATAATATTTTAAATCTTCAGGAGAATCCAAGAAACTTTTGTACGAAACTTTTTTTCGTATCTCCTATGGGTTTCCAGATCGTATAGTGAATCGTTTCAATTGGCACACGGTGTACCTCTGTCTACGTTAGTGTATAAAATTGCTAGATGCGAAAAGCCTCGATATCTCCATGGTAGACTGATCAGGGGTAGTGATATACACAACAGGGCAACTCATTACCGCAACCAGTTCTATGTTTCCAAGCATGGTATTGCTGCGTTTCAATGCTCTTTCACATATAACGCTATTAAAACTTACAACTCACTTCCACTATATATTACTGCTTGTTCATCAACTTCTACATTAAAAAAATTAAAAGAGTTGGTAAGATTAACTTTTCAACCTATATAATGAGGATCTAATAAAGTTGTGGGAAACAAAATGTCCCAAAGGAATTCAAGTCCATCGTACAACAGAGCTTGCCGTTGATAATCACATCTTCTTGACATCATGGCCAAAGACTACAATTATGAAATTTCCAAAAATATAACAAAAATT